GTCAAGTAATAACATTCAATAATTGTTCCCAAGAGTTTGCCACACCTCCCCTGTAACAAAAATAACCAATGTTACCCATTTAGTCAAATAAAAATGCCAATGTATTCACGTCAGTACATGAATTACGACAAACCTTGAGGGAACCGTCTTCCATTAAGTCTAGCCTTTTCATCTAATTAATTAGCATGTGAACAATCAAACTCCCATGTTGGCCGATGACATCCAATTCCCCAATATGATGCCAAATTATGCTAATAAAAAACCATCACCAACAGCGCCACAAAGAATGGAAAGTAGCACCAACAATGTAATTTTGGCTCGGGCCCATGTTGGGCCTTGCAGGCTCCCGCCAAAAAGAGGGTCTGGCCGGTCGGCCCACGGGCCAGAAAACTAGGCTCAAGCCTAGGCCCAGGGGTATTCGGGCTTTGGGCGGGCCAGTGGGTTGGGCCTCAGGGCGAACCCCTGGGCTCGGGCTTTGAGTGGGCTTGGGCGGGCCTAAACAAGTTTTTTTTTTTTCCACTAAAATTTTATTATTTTCCATTAAAAATAACATTGGGCTTCAGGTGGGCCGGGCCTCGGGCCGGGCTTTTAGGCGGGTCTTGAGTGGGCCAATGGTTGGGCCACAGGCCGGGCTTCAAAACGATGGCCTAGGCCCTGGCTCAAGGCCTCGGGTTGGGTTGGGCTGGGCTTGGGATCGGGCCGGGCCCACATCCGGCCGCGAGCGGGCTTCGGGCCGCCCGTGGGCCACGGGCCAAAGTTACACCCCTAGTGTCTGGTTAAGGATGTTATAGGCAAATGTAAACAGACTGAACCCGAAAATGTGGTTACATCAGTCAGTATCACTTGCATAAGTTAGATTCATATTACCAATTTAGAAACACCAATATCACAAGTTTGGAGAGGGGAAGGGGGGGGAGGAACATTTTAGGAGCTATGTTAGCATTTGGTATGTCAATTGCATTAACTTGGTCACATGATAACGCTACTATATTCTTGCCTACCATATTCTCGCCGACAACATCATTTAGGTACATTTCAAACGTATAATAGTAACTCAATGCATACCACTAGATACACATTTGTATGGGGCAGTTAACAATTTTCACAATGTTACATTTACGACATCAACATTCACATGATGACACTCAAATGTGTCCAATCCTGTATGTCTATTTTCCTATTTTAAAGATGATTAGAACATAAAATTAATCCGAATACGCAATGAACATCAACGACAATGACAGAAAAATGGGAGAATATTCATATAATACATTCATGATGTAAAAAATCCTAATTTCTATGAATATCAATGTCCATTTTCAATTTGTTATATTAAATCTTTGAACACTAATAGGTTTGCTCAAAATGATGACATAAATTACCAAATGACCACTATCTTAACATAGGGGATCGATGTTAACATCCATTCCCATGGCTCAACAAAATCAAACCCCAAAATAGGGCATCCAAAGCATACTGCCACATTGACACATTGAACATAAGAATACATGCAAATATGTTTGGGCGTCACAGTAACAACATCTCGACAACAATCATACATGACCCAAATTTGGATTACCATTCAACCCCACAATATCGACCTAATCAACAACATCTTAGGAATACATAAACACCATAAACACGACATTAACATCAGACACATGCAAACTGGAACACACAAACAGCATATCACAACACACACGAATCTTAGCGTTACATTACACATTGAAATAGAAAATATCAAACATTCATACCCTTACATCTCATTGTCATGAGTTTACAACATCGACACCGATGGTAACTACTCGACAATATAAGGTTTATATCACCAACTTTAGAATGTAAAATCGGTGGCCTGTACCGATAATATCGTATTCAACTAAACGTTTGCACCGATTCCTGAAGGCAATTCAGATCACTGTTGCAGTTGACGTAGGGTTTCAACAAATTTGGGTTTGTATCCCTAATGTTGAATGTGGAAATCAGCGATTAAGTGCGAAAAATTCTTATTTTCCAATTACGTTCACATTAGAATCACACTGAAGATGAACAATGTCATAATTAGTTCCACAACCTTTTAGTATGAGATTTGGTCTTGAATGAGGAAAAAGCAAAAAAAGTCTATAATACGAATTGCTTAAATGTATAATTTCACCCCAGCTGAAAACTCACATTTATCCCTTCTTCACAATGTGGGTGTTTGGGAAGTTGCTATTTTAGTATGCTATTTTAGTAGGCTATTTTAGTTTTTGGCTATTTTAGTAGGTTAAAATTTTTGTGTTTCGGAAGATGATTGTATTTTTTTTTGTAGTTAGATATAATGTTTGGAATCAGGATCCTCTCCTTACTCTCTCTCCTTAACTCCCTACTTGCTGGACTATTGGGCCTACTTTTAGGCCCAATTTCGATGATCCGAACCGCTTACATTTTAAGATTTGTTGAGTATATTATACCTATAAAAAATCAAGTTGATCGGATATCAGAAACTACGTGTTCGGATCATTGAACTAAAAACCATTTAAAAAAATATATATTTATTAAATAATTTTCCGAACACATGTTTTCTGATATCCGATCAATTTGATTTTTTTACAGATATGATATACTCAACAAATATTAAAATGTGAACGGTTCGGATCATCGAAATTAGACCTCAAAGTGGGCCCAATAACCCAGCAAGTAGGGAAGCAAGAAGAGAGATTCAATAGAGAATCCTGATTGATGATGTTTGTGAGAGAAAAAGTAAAATGATTATGGATTTGATGTGACATTTTATCTTATTAACTATTTTAACATATTTTGTTTTTTTTATAAATTTTAGCCTTTGTCAAACGCCACCAAAATATCATGCTTCTTAATGTATGCCCTTTTGGATAATTTTCACTTAATCGAGACTTTTGGTTTAATGAAAAGGAGAACTAAACCGTTCATAAGATTGCAACTTAAGATTTATTAATGCTTTATTTATTTATTTTTTTGAAAAAATTATTTATAAGTCCTATTAGGGAGACTTATGCTACATATGGTCTTACGAAAAAACTTATGTTCTCACAAGTCCTGTGTGAAGTTTGTTGACACATATATCCTCAATATTAGTTGTTAATATCATAAATAATGGTAAAACCATATATACAAAATTGAATGTTACTATAGATTAAGTTTGCGAAACATAACGTGACTCCTACATAAATGTAACGTGACGTGACCATATTAGATGAGACATTACATAAACGTAACGTGACATAGTAATGTGACACCTACATAAACGTAACGTAACGTGTCACGTTCCGTTTCGCAAACTTACTAGGTTTTTAATTTTTTAAATTGAATGTGAAAATGTTACTTGTTCGTGTATTTTGAAATTTACATTCACATAGATATCATCTATGGTAACATTCATAAGAAATTAAATGTTACTATAGATTAAGTTTGCGAAACGTAACGTGACACCTACATAAATATAATGTGACGTGACCATATCAGATGGGACATTACATAAACGTAATGTGACGTGACACCTACATAAATGTAACGTAACGTGTCACGTTACGTTTTACAAATAGGATCTTATGAAATACATTCTTATTTAAATAGGACTTGAGACTCTATAAAAAGTACACAAAATTTAACATAGGATAAATATCTAAAATAGGACTTATAAGTTTCCCAATTTTTTTTCTTGAAGAAGATGACTAATTTAGATTATTATTATTTTTTAATTAAAAAAAAAATTTAATGCCAAACCAGATAAATAAATAGCCAAAAACCCAGGTCGTCTCACCCTCTAGATTCTTCTTCGCTCCCGTCGCACTACTCATTACGGTTTCATCGTCTCCTCTCAGATCTTCCCTCAATCAATCCGCACATTCGAAACCAAGATAATGAGTTCCCAACCTGAATCATCTGACTCGTGAGTACTCCAATCCCTCAATATTCACTTAATTTAGTTTTACTTCACAATCCATCTTCATCAAACCCCCTCTCATTCTTGTCCGATTTGACGATTTTCAAATGGTTTTATCGTTTGATTTTCCAGGAAAGGCGCGAAGAAAGACTTCTCTACAGCAATATTGGAGCGCAAGAAGTCCCCCAATCGGCTCATCGTCGACGAGGCCGTCAATGACGACAACTCCGTCGTGGCGATGCACCCAGCCACCATGGAAAAGCTGCAGCTCTTCCGCGGCGACACTATCCTCATCAAGGTTTTGCTTTTTCATCTTTGGTCTATCTATGGAAGTTTTTGTGAATTGGGTTTTTAGGGTCTTGGAAGAATTGGACAGTTTTGGGGATTTTTGTGTTGTTGTTCAGATCAGGGGGGTATTTAATCTGTGGATGTTTTGTTTGGTTTGGTATGTTCTTGTTTTTGTTTTTCAAATTGTTGGTTTTATTTGTTTTTGTATTGCAATTTTGCATCAAGTGGAGGTCTACGTAGAGTTGAAAATACTTGTGTTTGTTTGTATATGTAGGGCGATTGAGTACCTGTCTCTCTGTTGTTATTTCTTTATTTCTTGGTGTATATTTGTGTGTACCCACACTTGGTAGAACAGTTAATTTGAATGTTGAAAACTTTTTGTCAACTCAAGCACTAGTGATTGAACAAAGTTGAAGATGATTGAACTGTGCTTAATTGCATGCATTTAGCTCAAATCTTTGTAGGGGTCAATTTTAGCATGAAAATTGAACATATCATGTAGGTCGCTTCGAATTATTATTATTTTTTTTTGTGGTTCACCCCCTTTTTGGTTGAAGGCAGGAGTTCTGATAAATTAAGGAATTTCCACCAAAACTCCATTTTCATGGTGCACACTTTGGCTTCAATTTCCCATTCACTCGGTAATGGTTTTGAGCAACCAAATATACCACGTGAATCACAACGCGGCATAGAACGCGTTACCACTTTGACCCAAGTAAATCGACACTCGGGGCCCACCTAAAAAATAGACCGAACTTAGGAAAAAATTCTGATTTTATCCAGAATTTTATAACCATTTCCAACAGATAATGAGTTCCCAACCTGAATCATCTGACTCGTGAGCACTCCAATCCCTCAATATTCACTTAATTTAGTTTTACTTCACAATCCATCTTCATCAAACCCCCTCTCATTCTTGTCCAATTTGACGATTTTCAAATGGGTTTATCGTTTGATTTTCCAGGAAAGGCGCGAAGAAAGACTTCTCTACAGCAATATTGGAGCGCAAGAAGTCCCCCAATCGGCTCATCGTCGACGAGGCCGTCAATGACGACAACTCCGTCGTGGCGATGCACCCAGCCACCATGGAAAAGCTGCAGCTCTTCCGCGGCGACACTATCCTCATCAAGGTTTTGCTTTTTCATCTTTGGTCTATCTATGGAAGTTTTTGTGAATTGGGTTTTTAGGGTCTTGGAAGAATTGGACAGTTTTGGGGATTTTTGTGTTGTTGTTCAGATCAGGGGGGTATTTAATCTGTGGATGTTTTGTTTGGTTTGGTATGTTCTTGTTTTTGTTTTTCAAATTGTTGGTTTTATTTGTTTTTGTATTGCAATTTTGCATCAAGTGGAGGTCTACATAGAGTTGAAAATACTTGTACCTGTCTCTCTGTTGTTATTTCTTTATTTCTTGGTGCATATTTGTGTGTACCCACACTTGGTAAAACAGTTAATTTGAATGTTGAAAACTTTTTGTCAACTCAGGCACTAGTGATTGAACAAAGTTGAAGATGATTGAACTGTTCTTAATTGCATGCATTTAGCTCAAATCTTTGTAGGGGTAAATTTTAGCATGAAAATTGAACATATCATGTAGGTCGCTTCGAATTATTATTATTTTTTTTTGTGGTTCACCCCCTTTTTGGTTGAAGGCAGGAGTTCTGATAAAGCTGTATTTGATGAGATTTGGTTCTTTTAGACTGGTGTTATTTAAACGGAAGTTCTGGATGGTTTATTTACAGTTTCCATTGGTTGAGAACCCAAAGGTCATTGGATAGGCTTGCATTATAGTTTTAGGCATGTTTGAATTGGGGTTGAGAAATCCCGATTGGAAATTTGTGGCTGGCAATGTTTTCTGGTTCTGCACTTGGGAGAAACTGAATTATTGCATGTTAATGTTACAAGGAATTGCAATTACAATTAAGGATCACACACCCTATGTAAGGAATTTCTTGAAAAGTTATGCATGCGTAATGTTGCAGTTAATGTATCATGCTGCCTGATTAAGCGTGAATTACTTTATTTTGCTTTGGTAATGTCTTATTGGCTGAAATTTTATATTTCTTGGTTTGGGTATCATCACTTTGGATTTGGGGGCTGCGGGCTGCATGTCACCACCCATAGGATTGGTCTTGGCTTTGACTACCAATTTCGCTGCCCCACAAACTTTTTTGCTGCTACTTTTTCCCCTCTTATTTTGTGGTGAAGTTTTAAATTTATGGAGTTTAATATTGGGATGATCTTAAATTCTAATGGGTAAAAATGAGGTCTCTTGTACTTTACTATGTCCAATTGTGTTTTGTCTTTTTGCAATTAAATGGTTATGAAATGTTTGAGGTGGTGGTTACCCCGATTGTGATTTTGTTTAATTTTATTTACATTCTTTTACTTTTATATGATTTCCAGGGCAAGAAAAGGAAGGATACAGTCTGTATTGCCCTTGCTGATGACGCGTGTGAAGAGCCAAAGATCAGGATGAACAAGGTTGTCAGATCAAATCTGAGGGTTCGGCTGGGAGATATTGTATCTGTGCACCAGTGCCCAGATGTTAAGTATGGAAAACGTGTCCATATACTGCCACTTGATGATACCATAGAAGGCATCACTGGGGATCTGTTTGATGCATACCTGAAACGTAAATTTTTGTGTCAAATATTATATGTCACATTAAAAATTTCCCGCTCAATTCAAAATTCATTCACCAAATAAATTTTTTACACTCAAATCATAATTTTAAAATTCACAAACTAAAAATACAACTCTATTTTCAAATCATATTTAAAAAAGTCTACCAAAAGCAAGCTCCGTGTTTCAAACAACCCTTTACCATTTACGGGACCATTCAATAGGCCTGTTTGGTAGAGCTTATAAGCTGTTTATTTTAGCTTTCAACTTAATTTAAGCTAAAATATTGTGTTTGGTGCAGCTTAAGTTAACCAACTTATAGCTTAAATCAAACTATTTCTCAACTTATCTCAAAAGTTGGTTAGGGGGTGCCTAAATTTTTTACTTAAGTGCACAGCTGATGTGGGAGGCTAAAATTATTTAAATGCCCTCTTCAATACCCAAATATTAATATTAATATTAATTAAAAAAATAAAAAATTATATATTTCTGAAGAAAAAGAAAAAAAATCAATATTAATTGAAAAATAATATTAATTGGTATTAATTATTAATAAATTCATATTGTATATTTTTATATTAATTAAAAAATAAAAAATTGTATATTTCTGAAGAAAAAGAAAAAAAATCAATACTAATTAAAAAAAATCAATATTAATTGGTATTAATTATTAATAAATTAATATTGTATACTTTTGTAATGAATTAATTATTAATTGATACTAATTAATAACAATTCTTGATTATTATATTTACCAATAAATCCTATCTCACAAACAGTTTTACCGATTGGTCCTAAAATTATTTATATTGTTCTGATTAGTCCTATTAGTGGGGAAATATCTTTCCAGTTGATCCTATTTCCTTTGTTTAGTAACATTGAGTGGTCAGTTATACCCTTTCGTGTGTGTGTCGCGTGACATACATCATTCCAAGGCAAAAAGTATAAAGAGCCTTAGTGTACTTTATTGATGTGTGACACCCATTGTGTGTGTCGCGTGACACATTGTGTGTGTCGCATGACACTCCAAGGCAAAAAACATAAAGAGCCTTAAGTGTACTTTGTTGATGTGTGACACCCATTGTGTGTGTTGCGTGACACACCCCTCATAAAGAGTCTTGGTGTACTTTGTTGATATGTGGCACCCATTGTGTGTCTCACGTGACATATTGTGTGTGGCACGTGACACACCCGCATAAAAAGCATGCATCTAATAACATCTAAATGAGGGCATTAAGGTCCCTCAAAATATCCAAGGACTAAATGGTTTATTAAAAAAAAATTGGGACCAATTAGTTCATAAGTTTAACATTTGAGATTTATTGGTAAGTCTCCCATCCTTAAATATATTTTAATTTAATTTAATTTTAATTAAAATCTTAATCAAATTTTAGAGTTGGGGATGATGGATAAAATTATCTTTTTATTGTGTTCATTTCACTTTTCTTTTTTTTTTTAATTGATACTAATTAATTTATAATGGAAAATAATTGTGACAATAATACTTCCATTACATTTTTAGCAAATGTATCAATTTTTATATTAATTGATACTAACAAATACTAATTATATTAACTTTTATTAATGAAATATTTTTTTAAAAATTAAAACTGAAAAAAATGATAAAATAATTATTTTTATATCATATAATGGCAGAAAGGACAATTATACAGTAAAAAGTTATTTTACAGTTTATTAACCAAATACTACTCTGCTGCTTAAATCTATAATCCCACAGTTGCGTCAAATAAGTTAACAATTTATGTTTATAGGTATAAAGTATAATCTGTTAAGGTGTAATATATAATCACTTTTCTATAATTTTATCAAACGGGTCTAATGTACAATTGAAAAATAATTAAAAATAGATAAATAAAGGACTAGAAGAAGAATTTGTGAAAATTGAGGGGGCCACGAGATGACATTTGGCCCTAAAAAGGCGCCATCGTGGTGGATACGGAACCGACCAATTTTGCAGTCCAGTCAGTAGTCTACACTTCTTCCATTCTACCTTTACGTGTTGGGTTGGTTATTGAAAAATTATTGGTAAGCACAGCTCTGTTTATCAATCACAAATTATTAATAATATATTTTTTATGTTTTTAATTATTTAAATTTTAATGAATAATATTAAATAAAAAAAATTGATCTAAGGTCCCTATCCAACTTTTAGTATGAAGAGAGATCCACAATAATATTTTCTGGTGTCTAAGGTCCCTCAATGTTAGTTTAGTTTATAAAATACCTATTTTACCCTTTTGTATATTATACGTGGTTTTCAATTTTGGAATCTGACAGATTAAGTTACTATTTTTATGAAAGATTACTTTGGGATGAACTTGGCGATCGATGGAGATTTCGATGATGCAGATTTCGTAGAAATTTTATAGGAATTTTGTAGTCGTATAGTAGTTGAGTTTCGTTGATCGTATAGAAGTTGAAGTCGTGTTGAAACTCGAAATTCCAGTAGAGCTGAATCAGGTAAGTTTAATAATCAGTTTAAGTTTTTTATTTTTCATTTGATTTGTATATATGGACTCCGATTTCAAATAAGTGTTTGTAGTTTATTTTGAATTAGGTTTTTATTTTCAGTTTTGATCAAAGTGATAGAAAAGCCAGCTTAGTGAATTATTTTTTGATTTTTGAAGTTGATTTTCCATTCTTTGTTATTGACAATGGAGTTGATTTTTCATTCTGTGTTACATGTTTATCAATGATAAGTTTTGTTCTTCGTGTTTGGAGATCGGCTCTGTTTTTCTTCACTGTCTTAAGTTTTGTGCTCTGTTTTTTTCATTTATTCTGCACTTTTCATTTTTCTACACTTTGCTTTGTATTCCAGAGAAAATTATATGTTCATATTCCAGAGAAAATTGTATGTTTATATTCCAGAGAAATTTCTCTGCATTCTGATTTGAGTCCAATAATGGACAATCACACAGAGAAAATTATAAGCTTGTAGTCCAGTGAAATCACAGAGAAGCTTATAATTTGATAACTGATCTTCTGTGTGATTTTTGTCTATGATTGTGTTTAATAGTTAACATTGAATATCTCTGTGATTTTCTCTAGATTCATTAATTCTTCTGTAATTTTGTTTTTGTTATCTTGAAGGTAAATTTAAGTTTGTAAATTTTTCTGGACTTTTATTTGAGTCCAGAGAACATTATAAGGTAGGTATTATAATCCAGAGAAAATTATAATTATTAGAAATTTCTCTAGACTTTTATGTTGTTCTTGTGAAGTATTTTTATATTGAACAAGTTATTTTTGGTATTTTTTGTTTCAGTTTAGATGGACAGTGCAGTGTTGTTGCTGTGCAAATATGGGAATGATACTATTATCATTAATGTTTCATGCGAATTGAATTGATGATGCTATGATTTTACTTGCATTGAGTAAGAGACCAGCTGGGAGGCCAAAGAAGAACAAAATTGCTTCTACTGAAGAGTTTAAAAGGGTGATTAAATGTAATCGATGTGATAGGATGATCGCCATAATAAGAGGACATGCAAGGAACCTTTGTTAAATAGTTGAGGATATTACATTTATTGATTGAATAATACATTTGAGAATTACTTTGTGTATTTTGTTTTGTGAAATGTACTTTTTGGACAGTGCATATATAATACCAATCAAATTCATCCAGAGAAATTTACTATGTGCATTGTGGCAAATTTATCCAGAGAAATTTGCCAGTAACAGAGAAAATTACTTTGTGCACTATGTTTAGTAAGGTCAAATTCATCTAGAGAAATTTGTGAGGTGAAATTCATCCAGAGAAATTTACTATGTGCATTGTGGCAAATTTATCCAGAGAAATTTGCCAGTAACAGAGAAAATTACTTTGTGCACTATGTTTAGTAAGGTCAAATTCATCTAGAGAAATTTGTGAGGTGGTGTTTATAATACCAATCAAATTCATCCAGAAATTTTTTTAATAGCAATGAAAATTACTTTTTGTGTTACGTTTTTAGAAACATACTTTGGGAGTGTCTTTATAATACCAGTCAAATTCATATAGAAAAATTTGCCTAAAGCAAAGAAATTTACTATGGCCATTGTTTTTGTTGAAATGTGCATTGTCTTTTGTGAGGTCAAATTCATCCAGAAAATTTTTCCAATAGCAGAGAAAATTACAATGTGCATTGTGTTTTTTGAATTTGATGATTGTTTCGTACCAACACAGTGCATTACAAATTACATGATCATATAGGCACCCTTTTGGCACGATACGAGTTAAATTTTTCTGTGAAATTCTGGTAACTCCATACAAGAAAAATTTCTTTAGACAATTTTCTTTGCGTGGATTATGTTGATAATCACCACTAAATATGCATTATAAAAAAAAAAATATTTAACCATTGATAGTTATGAAATTTACATTAGTTAAAACAATATAAATACATATATGTCAAAAACATCATTTCTTCAATGTACGAAACAAAAAATTGAAGGGTCATTCCTTATTACATTGTGTACATTGTCTTCATTTCACTAGTATGCTTTCACTATTATACTTTTAGTTCTTCTTTTGGTGATATTTCAATTGGTTCTGTCCATGACCAGCCAATTTCGGTCGCAAATCTCTCTATGATTTTCTGTCATCGTGAACCTTACGTCTTGTTTTGACAATGTTGAGCTGATAGGTTCATGGTTGCTATATTGTCTCATTATGTAGCAAATGAAGACGCCACAATCCACACTGCATACAAATTATAGGTATAGTTAGTTTTAAGAAATATTCAAATTAGATTATCTTATTTATAGAGTTTCTGTTTCTTACTTGGTGTTTATGGTGTTTTGCTGTTTTTACGTTTCGTCATTTTTAGACAATGAAAACATAAAGATGTCAATATTAAATCCTAGAGAAATTTACAGACAACAAGAGAAAATGGAACATAACAAACACACACAAAGGAGAAAAGTGATGTGGCCGGAGAAAATTCAAGAATGGAACAAACCAAATATATACCAGAGAAAATTACACATGGCAAGCCAGGAGAAATTACATATATGCCAGAGAAAATTAATAAGGCAAGCTAGAGAAAATATGCATTCCATAATATAAAAATCCCAGAGAAATTTACAGACAACCAAAAAAAATAGAACATGACAGACACACACAAAGGAGAAAAATGATGTGGCCATAGAAAATTCAAGTGTGGAACAAAATAAACATATCAGAGAAAATTACACATGGTAAGCCAGAAAATATTACATATATGCCAAAGAAAATTAAACAAGGCAAACTAGAGAAAATGTTATTCCATAATATGAAAATGCCAGAGAAATTTATAGACAACCAGAGAAAATTGAACATAACAAACACACACAAATGAGAAAAGTGGTGTGGCCAGAGAAAATTTAAGAATGAAACAAAATAAACATACCAGAGAAAATTACACATGGTAAGCTAGAGAAAATTAAACACATGTGTATTCCAGAATATGAAAATGCCAGAGAAATTTACAAACAACTAGAAAAAATGGAACATGACAAAACCACACAAAAGAGAAAAGTGATGTGACCATAGAAAATTTAAGAATGGAACAAAATAAACATACCAGAGAAAATTACACATGGCAAGCTAGAGAAAATTACATATATGACAGAGAAAATTAAACATGGCAAGCCAAAAAAAATATGAATTCCATAATATGAAAATGCCAGAGAAATTTACAGAAAATCAGAGAAAAATATGAAATAACCAGAAACAAATAGGGGAATAAACATGCTAGAGAAAATTCAAAGAAAACACATAGATCAAGAAAATACCAGAAAAATTCAAATGACAGAGAAATTTACAGACAAAATCACACAAACATTTTCAAGAATAAGTTCGAAACTTAGAGAAATAACATTTTTCAAATTCATGTAGGTTTTTATTACGAAATTGAAATCCTAATTAATGGAAGGCTAGTCAACTGTGTTTCGGAGAAAAACTAGTTGGATTTGAGAAAACTTACCAAAGTGATGATGAAAACCCTAATTTCGAACTGAAATGTCTTGAGATGAAGATGCAATGAGATGAAGATGAACTGAGATGACGAGGATCATATTTTTAAAATCAACAATGATTCATCCCCCCTTTTCCCCCATCCCCTTTGACCCCCTCTCTCTCTCATTGGTTACTTTTTCTTTTTCTTTTTTTTCCTGCTTCCCCAATCACCACCCGCCACGTGGCAAAGGGGGGGTGAGGGGGTGACCCCCAAAAGGGGGTCCCAAGCATTATTCATTGAAAAACAACATTATTGATAAGCACAGCTCTGTTTATCAATCACAAATTATTAATAATATATTTTTTATGTTTTTAATTATTTAAATTTTAATGAATAATATTAAATATTATAAAATATTTTATAATTTTTTAAAATTAATATGTAATAGTTTATTATGTGTATAATTTAATAATAAATAATTTTCATAAAATGTTACATGATATTTTTTTTATAATATCTAATATTACTTTTATCCAATACAAAATAGTATTCTCTATTTCCTCTATCAATTACCATACATATAAAACACCACACGGCGTTCCTAGCCAATCAGTAACTTCTCTGGGTTACTACTTTCTTTGAAATTTAAGTAATTGAATTCTCCTACTACTAGACTGCGTAATCTCTCAATCAATCTTGAGAGCTCTCGTTAAAGTCGCATGATTTGAACATCTTTCAAATTGATGTAGCCCATCACCACCACACTGTCTCACTATTATTAGATTGAGTCAAATTTTACTGGGTTGGAGCTCCGTTCGTTTGTTATTGAGTTTGAACTAAATTTGTTAATATGTTAAGATTGAGTTCAATTCGAAATTTAATAATGAATTTATTATTATTATTATTATTTATACATATTTTTTTGAATTATTTAATATATAAATAATATATTTATTTTATAATTTAAATAAAATAAATGAGTGAAACTTATTTGAACTCAAGCCTAAAAATTAAGGCTTAAACTCATTGATTTACCTAACAAATCAAACTGAACCTAATTGAGTTTGTGAACAACTCAATTCTTTTGTAGTTTTAACTATTAATCAATCCATAGAACTCTAGTAAAAGGTCAAGAGCAAGCGAAATTATATTTTGCTGTTCGGATAAATATTCTAAAAATTTTACAAAAAAAAAAAATTTAATTAATTGATTTTTATTGATTGAAGTAATAAAATTTATTAGTTTTGTGTATTTTTAAAATAAGATCTCTCTCTCTATCTATATATATATATATATATAAAGGTTATCGTCAAAATCATATAGTCTATTAATATTTAATAAATATTTTAATATAAATAATCTTATAAAATAAATAATTGGGTTGGGATCAACTAACCCAATAAGCCCGATCCAAGTCCAAACACGGGCGGACAGTCCGAGAGGAACTGGCCTCTTATTTTACAAAGACTTCATAGTTTAGGGATTTGCTAATTATATATAATTAGGTTTCATTATTACGATAGTGAAGATTAGACCACTAAACCCTCCTGCCTTCAGTCCCATGTAGGTTTCGATTTCTCATTGTGAGGCAACAACGTAGAAGTAGAAGGGCGAATTCATTATTACTAGGCTTGTGAAGAAGGTTACACACACTCTCAACCCCTCAATTCATTATTATTTGTTAATGTATATTGGTATTGGTATTGTGGTTCCTTATATAGGTTCTATACTAGTTTGCACTACTCTACATTAATCGCCCACTCTTGTAATAGTTAGCAAAAAATTCTTAATGCAATTTTTTTCATTATTTATTTATTTATTTTTAATTTATTTTTTAAATTTTAACATAATACGAGAACTGATTAATTTGTTTGTGGGTTTTGCATACCAAGTGTTTGTCTTTGGTCTCTCAAGTATCTGTCACCTACCCATATAATTGGGCTGCATGTGTGGAAAGTTTTAGAGGCTTGCCCTATTTGGGCTTTCTGACTCACCTGTGTTTGATTCATATATCGGTATCACCATAACATAAATTTGTGGGTGTGTACCATGTGTAACTTGTAACTAAAAAAACAAGACATAATTTTAATTTTTTAACGCATAACTAAAAACACAAAATAAGGTATAACTAAAGAACTCATGTATCATTACTAAAATAATGTTATAACTAAAGAAGAAAATAACATAACTAAAGATGCATATAATATATCATTTTTAAAGGGATGTATCTTAGAATTTTCCTAAATTTGTACACCAATTTAAGGTCAATTAATGATTTTAAATTGAATGCCTCCAAAATTTTAACATGCTATTTGTTATTTGCTGCCCTTTTATTTCTCTATCTTTTAGTGTTATGTGCATTTTACATGCACTCTGTTTTGTTTCTTGCATTTCATCGTAACTTTGCCCTAAATTGGTGGCTCTTTATGCTTAATTAAGTGCAAGCTGCACTTTGCTCTGTATAATATAGATGCATTCTATGTTCTTGTTCGTCCGACCATAACCATAAACTAGCTCCTCCTGACTGGACATTCGGTTTTGAGAAATGTTCAGAATCATGAAATTTTTTTCATGAAAATGATTATGAAAAATTTGTAACTCTTAGATTACCTTGATTAGTGTGTGATGATTTATTCTAAGTGTAATCCAAAGGTCACAACCCTTTCATGATCATTTTCATGAAAGACTTTTCATGATACTTAGCATTGCTGTTCTGTTTTAGGGCCCCCAAAAGTTTGTTAATTGTTTATTAATATAGTGTTCGCCTTCTTAACAGCTCTATGTTTTTGAATTAAAAGGTGGACGAGAGAAAAAGCCTGTATCAGATTGGCGGTAGCTCATAATGGGTAAATCAAAGAGAGTGAAAAAATTGCGTAAGCAGCTAACGAATGGACAGATGAGATATGTCTCAGGATCTTCATTGGAGGTATTTCATTTTTCAAAATTCTACAGTTGCAAACTACTTAGTTCTCAAATCCTTTTGAAGTTGAATAATCCCAAATTGGATGCGTAGACAAACACGAACGCAACGAGTATGTATGGATAATTCCTTGTTGGCCAAGAAACATTAGTATAGGTTAGTATTTGTAAGGATGGTGTAAACTTTTAAAATTGTGGACTAGCTGAATTTTGTGCTGTTTGGTGTAGAGTCTCTAGTGCAAATTCTGCTTACAACTTGATAGGCAAAAATAAGCTTAAATAAAGCTGATTATTGAGAAGTAAGAAAAATGATACTTTTAGAATTTGTTTTCTAATTATTAGCTTTTAGCTTGAAGTAAGCGGGCACCAAACAGGCCTTTGTACACCTAACCCCAGTCCCCCTTCAAACAATCACCCACACCAAAACATTGTCACTATGCAAATTTGACAATCAAGATATATTCATAATTAATTGTTTGATATTAATGCAGGATTGCAACACTGAGGTTGGCGATTCCATCAGTCAATTGCCAGAGGAAATTCTTTGTTCAATTGTGTCCTTGTTGACATTGAGAGAGGCTGCGAGGACCAGTGTCCTTTCAAGGAGATGGAGATTCCTCTGGAGGAGTTTGTTGAAACTGAATTTTGATATTACAAACATGACTGGAGACACCATCTTGCAACAGCATGACAAGGGTAGATTTGTGACATGGATTAACCAAGTTTTGAAACATCATGCCGGTGAAAAGATAGTGTCATGCAGAGTTGTTTATCCATTGGGTGGAGAGTATGGTCAGGACATTGATCAATGGGTTCAGTTTGTTGCAGCTAAAGACGTTGAAGAGCTTCATATCAAGTTGACTACATGCCATCTGTTGCACCAGGATTATACCCTCTATGAATTTCCTTACTGGTTCTTTGCTCAAGGAGGAAGAAGATCTTCCTTGAAATGTTTGTCTTTAAATTCGTGCAGTCTGAGCCTTCCACAAAATTTTAGAAGCTTCAGCTCCCTTGTTTCACTGTGTGTAAAAAATACACGCGTGAGTGAAGAAAATATACAAAACATGTTGTCCAATTGTTTGTGCCTTGAACAGTTTAGCATTTCAAAATGCTACTGTCCAATTCGTTTGAAAATTGCTAATGGAGACAAGTATCTGAAGCTGAAGCACTTAAATTTAACATTTTGTCGTGGTTTAGAGGTGGTTGAAATATATAATGCTATAGATCTTGCATCATTTGAATGTAGAGGAGATGTCTTAAGACAGCTTTTGTTCAAGAATAGCGCGCAGCCTGTGAGGGTATGCTTTTTTCCTGTGTGGAATACATTAGCCGGTATAAACTATGCCTTTGGTAGATTTGCTACAGATTTCCCTCAACTTGAGAGCTTGTTTTTGGGTTTTGCACGCGTTGAGGTATGTTGAATCAAACTGTTCTTTATAGTTTCCTAGTCATATTGCGATTAACATTTTTTTTTTCAGGGTGATATGATTCCCAAACAGCTACCCACATTCACTAAACTTAAGGAATTGGTGCTAATGGTCGTTAAACCATCCCCAACAAGTGTCTTGGAAATTACCTCCTCGCTTGTGAAGGCATCTCCTTTCCTGCGTAAACTTCAGCTGCATGTAAAGGGTTTTTTATTTTTTATTTTGATAATTCTGTTCTCATACCATGTCATGTTTAGCTAGTATGTTTCATTTCGTGTTGTTCATTGTTAAAGAGTATTTTGTGTTATTCTTTCTCCTTAGCAGCTACCCTATAAATCTTACAGAGGGTGGGAAAAGATATCCCTAGAAAAATCAAAATCAGAATCAGAATCATTTCAGCACGAGCAGCTTGAGGAAGTGGAGATATTCAATTTCCATGGTGCTGAAGATGAAGTTAAGCTTGCTATCTATTTGCTCAGAAATATGGTGGTTCTTCAGAAGATGAAGATCATTCGCAAAGGACAATTGTATGAAGGGGATGGTAAATGGATGGAGTCCAGCTTACCAACTGCAATTGAAAGAGAGCAAGTGCATAAGAGACTTGCTCAAGAGGTTCCCTACAATACCCAGTTAATAATTCTGTAATAATAATAATAATATTATTATTATTGTCATTATCATTATTATAAGCTAGTATTAATCTTATTCATTGGTACATAGTTACCCTGTGGAGTTTTTTTTAATATTTGGATCATTTATAAAGTAAATCCATCATTGGAAGAGTGGTTTTTTAAGGCATTGTTATGCTGTTGTTGGATGCTGAAAAAGATTATTTATGAAATAATAGTTTCAACAAACACCGTTTATTATGCTTTTATGAGTTCAAATTATAGGCAAAAATTCAGTCATTGAGTTGTAGTATTTTGGCTTTTCTCAGGTGAAGCATTTTCTAACTTTTTAAAAGGAGTTTGGTAAAGAATTTGTTGCTTCGTTTTATAATTTTATAATTTTTTTTTTTTAAAAACAGGATTTATTTACTGTAATTTATTCTAAGCTGAAAGTTAATAATTTATAGTAGAATTGCATCTGTCTCTAGCTTCATGATATTTGGTTAGGGCCTTCGGGACCACAAGCCTCAGTTGATGGTCTTTTTGAAGCTCGACCATATGTCCATCCCAATACAGCAAATCAAGCCCATATACATTAAATAATGGATACTATTTTCGCTCTCTATTTATTTATTTATTTTACGTATGCATTTTTAGTATAACAATATTAAAATTGAAAAATCAAGACTGTGTTTTGATCATCGATTTTCTTGTCTAAATTTATGATTGAAGCACAAACCTAATGAATAGCGCATTCACTGTGAGGCTTGTAATTTATATTTTCTAGAGATTTAACTATATTTTTACAAGATTAATAATGCATACAATTTAAAAATCATAATGAATTATAATTATGTATTTCTATAAATAAAGTTCATTTTTATTTTATTTTATTTGATTCAATATGAGATTGTAATTATCGCGATGCACTTTAAATTTTGTATTATAATGATTTTCTTTTTTATTTTATAATGAATTTTGAACTATTAAAGTTTGGATTAAAACCTTAATTAGGGCAAATTTGACCATTGACCAATCAAAGCCCATGGGCCTGTGCTGGGCCTACACCTAAAATTTTAGGATTGGCCTGGCCCATATTACCGAGCCTTACATAAACGCTTACTTTTTTTAAAAATAAATAAATTTAATTGACAATAAATGATGGGCGATTGCAGAAAAATATAATATGGATAAAATGGAAAATTATAAAATATTTTGAATATCACTTGTCCGTACTCCTTAATCAATTATTATTCATGATGCTCTCTCATATTCTTCAATCATTTAACACAATATCTCACTTATCCATTTTCTCCACTAATTACAATACCATAGAGTCCACTAATTACAATATCATAGAGTAGCACGTATCCATATTCCGGGACTACTAAATAATTATCAGGATAAAATATAACTTTTTCCTTTTCATATTTGGTTATTTTGTTACATTGGTTCTTGAATTTCTCCAAAGCTAATTTGTCTAAAATTAAATAGAAAATGACATATTAACAATCACATAATATATGACTCACATTTTTGACACAATTTTTTTAAAAATAATAATATATTTTTTATATCATGTATTAACGTAATATTTTCATTCTTAAACATTAGTTTTAGAAGTAAATTAAAAAAAAAAAATTTGAGACACGAATTGTCAAAGTCAAAGAAAAAAAAAAAAAAAAAAAAATTCTTAAACGTAAAAGGAGTAAAGTGAAATTTGCTCATCGATTATCTCTCTTTTGTCATTTGAAATGTCAATTAATTGTCAATAGATGTTACGTGGGTCCTATTACATTAATATTGTGTTAATAATTATTTTTAAAATATATCTAAATTAAGTGGATTAAAAAGTAAAAAAAAATAAATTAAAATATTAAAAAAATACTAAAATTTTTAAAAATACTCATTAAAAATTTTAAAAATTATTTTTGAATATTCCGAACTAAGTAGAGTGAATATTTTTTTTCAGAAAATTATAAAAAAAAATTCCCAAGGTTAGACCATTACAACAAAATAAATACTAAATTTTTAATTTTATTAATTTAAATCCTAAATTATTGATGGCTTTCAATCTAAACTATTTATTTATTTTTGTTAAGTAAAATTGATAAAAAAATAATATTTTAAACATTGTATATTGATTTTACTTAACGAAAATAAATTGATGATTAATATTGAAAATAAATCAAAATACTATTAAAATTTAAAATTCGAAAATTTCTTTCCTTACAAATATGAAATTCTGGGGTTTATTTCGTAATTTGCCCTTTTTTGTTTTGAAAATTCAGTACATAGGTGGTTAATGTTATGAGCGTATAAATAAAAATCAATATTAATTGGTATTAATTATTAATAAATTAATATTGTATACTTTTGTAATGAATTAATTATTAATTGATACTAATTAATAACAATTCTTGATTATTATATTTACCAATAAATCCTATCTCACAAACAATTTTACCGATTGGTCCTAAAATTATTTATATTGTTCTGATTAGTCCTATTAGTGGGGAAATATCTTTCCAGTTGATCCTATTTCCTTTGTTTAGTAACATTGAGTGGTCAGTTATACCCTTTCGTGTGTGTGTCGCGTAACATACATCATTCCAAGGCAAAAAGTATAAAGAGCCTTAGTGTACTTTGTTGATGTGTGACACCCATTGTGTGTGTCGCGTGACACATTGTGTGTGTCGCGTGACACTCCAAGGCAAAAAGCATAAAGAGCCTTAGTGTACTTTGTTGATGTGTGACACCCATTGTGTGTGTTGCGTGACACACCCCTCATAAAGAGTCTTGGTGTACTTTGTTGATGTGTGACACCCATTGTGTGTCTCACGTGACATATTGTGTGTGGCACGTGACACACCCTCATAAAAAGCATGCATCTAATAACATCTAAATGAGGACATTAAGGTCTCTCAAAATATCCAAGGACTAAATGGTTTATTAGAAAAAAATTGGGACAAATTGGTTCATAAGTTTAACATTTGGGATTTATTGGTAAATCTCCCTAATATTAATTGATACTAATAAAAATTAAATATTAATATTAATTTATACTAATTAATAATTTTAGTATTAATTGAGACTAATTAATCCATTAATTGATACTAATTAATAATTTTAGTATTAATTGATACTAATTAATTTATAATGGAAAATAATTGTGACAATAATACTTCCATTACATTTTTAGCAAATGTATCAATTTTTATATTAATTGATACTAACAAATACTAATTATATTAACTTTTATTAATGAAATATTTTTTTAAAAATTAAAACTGAAAAAAATGATAAAATAATTATTTTTATATCATATAAGGGCAGAAAGGATAATTATACAGTAAAAAATTATTTTACAGCTTATTAACCAAATACTACTCTGCTGCTTAAATCCATAATCCCACAGTTGCGTCAAATAAGTTAACAATTTATGTTTATAGGTATAAATTATAATCTGTTAAGGTATAATATATAATCACTTTTCTATAGTTTTATCAAACGGGTCTAATGTACAATTGAAAAATAATTAAAAATAGATAAATAAAGGACTAGAAGAAGAATTTGAGAAAAGGAAAATGTTTTATAGGTATATATAAACAATTTTTATTTATTTATTGTTCTTAGATGATTTGTTTTTGATAGAAAATGGTGAAGAAACTGTTAAGTGAGAAGGAAAAGAGGATGATAAGGATGATTCAGGCTTTGCCGATGTTGGCAGCTGGAGAATCGCTACGATGAAATGTGCCGCGTGAAGAAGAAATTGACAAATTGTAGAAAGAATGTGTTTATATGTATAAATACATATACTAATTAAATGTAACTAGAATGTGTTCGTATTCAATTGATTGTTTGATTTGATTTTCTGAGAGTAATTCAGAAGGAAAAAACAATTTTTACAGTTGATCTGTATTATGTAGTATATTATATAGATACACAAAAATCTGTGTTATTCTTAGGTGATTTGTTTTTGATGGAAAATGGAGAAGAAACTGAGAAAGAAAATAGGATGATAACGATGATTCAGGAGCTGGAGATCGCTAAGATGAAATGTGCTGTGCGAAGAACAAATTAACAAATTGTAGAAAGAATGTGTTTATATGTACAAGTGTACAAGCACATACTAATTAAATGTATGTTCGTATTGAATTGACTTTTTCTGAGAAAGTAATTAAGAAAAACGAAATTATTTTAATCAGTTGATATGTATTTATATAGGTATATATACACAATTTTTATTTATTTATTGTTCTTAGATGATTTGTTTTTGATAGAAAATGGTGAAGAAACTGTTAAGTGAGAAGGAAAAGAGGATGATAAGGATGATTCAGGCTTTGCCGATGTTGGCAGCTGGAGAATCGCTACGATGAAATGTGCCGCGTGAAGAAGAAATTGACAAATTGTAGAAAGAATGTGTTTATATGTATAAATACATACTAATTAAATGTAACTAGAATGTGTTCGTATTCAATTGATTGTTTGATTTGATTTTCTGAGAGTAATTCAGAAGGAAAAAACAATGTTTACAGTTGATCTGTATTATGTAGTATATACAAGGTTTTAAAAAGCGGCCGCAACCATTACGTAACGCCATTACGTAACGGTTGTGGTAGTTACCGCCACCCGTTACGGCCGCTTTTGCAGTGTGATTGAGATTCACAGGTGTATCGGCCGTAACGGCTGCTATAGCGGTCGTAACGGTGTCGTAACGGCCGTAACGGCCTGTTACGCACCGTTATGTAACGATTCCAAATTGTTTCTTTTGAAAAAACACACAAAAAAAAAAAAATTGAAAACAAGGGAAGAGAGATAGAGAGAGAAGAGGGAAGATGGAGGAACAAGAGATAGACAGAGAGAATAGGGAAGATGAAGAACATGTTATTGATTTGTTGAAGTTGTAAGACCTATGCTATTCTATTCAGCTGCTGTCACTCAACCATTTTGTTTGTGTGTGTCTATCTATATATTGTTTAATAATAATAATAATGATAATAATAATAATAAATGTGGTCATTAGCTATTTGGCTTGATTAATATATATATATATATATTTAGGATTTTATTTATTCTCTTACTTTTGTCATTGTTTATCTTATATATAATAGTTAGTGATTGATTTTTTGTATAATATAAAGTCATCAATTATTAAAATATAATGTAAAAAACTCAGTTTATAGTGATTTAAAAATATGAAATATATTGGATCAAACTTAAAAATTTATAAAAATTGATCAATATTT